TAATGATGCTAAAAGGGATATTTTAATGATGTCCTAGATGAAGAATGTCAGAGACAGTTGGAAAGCATTCTTCATTTTGTTCACCAAATACATACTCTGAATTAGTTACATAATTTATATTCTTTACATATTTCAGATAGGATATTAACCCCATGCTAATTAGTAACTAAGGAAAATATGGAATGTGGAAAGTGATGATGATCACTTCAAAACTGAAATATAAGAAGAGAACTGAAAACTTCTTTAGGCTTACACCTTATGAAAATATTGTGGTGATATTGTATTCCGTAATATATCTTGCACCTTAATAAATTTATCTGGGGTCAGAGAACAGAACAGCCACTAGACAGACATAGAGGCCAGAAAATGGTGGCACTCACACCTTTAATCCTAGCCTCCTGGAGGCAGAGATCCATCGGGATCTCTGTGAGTTCAAAGTCACATTGGAAATAGCCGGGCATGGTGACTCATGCCTTTAATCCCAGGAAGTAATAGCAGAAAGCAGAAAGGTACCAGGAACTAGAGATGGTTAAGCTTTTAGGTTTTTAGCAGCAATTCAGCTGAGATTTGTTCTGGATGAGGACTCTTAGGCTTCAGCCTGAGGAAAAAAGATCAGCTGAGAAGTTGGTGAGGTGAGGTTAGCTGTGGTCTGTTTTGTCTTCCTGATCTTTCAGCATTCACCCCAATACCTGGTTCCAGGTTTGCTTTAATTAAAAAGACCTTTTAAGATTCCACTACAAAATATGTAAGAAATTTGCCATAATTGGAAATTAATGTTAGTAAGATTTACATATTTTTCAGAGAAAATTTACTTTGAATTTAATATACTGTTAAGACATTTTAATTGACAAACAATAATTCTTACTGTTTTTACAGGACACATTAGATGAGATCCAGCACACTGATATCTGCATGGGGCTATGGTTCAGGATGTGTTGAAAGGCAGCAACTTTGGAGTAGTCTCCAACAGGTGTGCAGAGGGAAAGTAACATGACAAGATAAAACTGGAATTTGAGGTCAAGCGAAAACCTCCTTGAACTAAAGGGTGGAATGCCTACGTAAGGAGTTTCAGAAGAGTCTGTGCTTCATATTTTTGTCTGGAGCAAACAAACAACAAAAATTACACACTGCAACATTTCTTACCTTGTCCTTTGTATTAGTTCCCCCTTTAACCTTCCTTCTGATTCCTCCATTTGCCTATACCCTCCTCAGCACAACCCTTTCCAACTGTAGTATAAAATCACACTACTCTCCTTTTATATATAATAATCTAACCTCTCTCACTTATCACACCCATTGTAAAAATTCTTCTTTCTAGTTTCCTGGCTTCCACTTGCATACAAATATTTGAATCCACATGAGAAAAAAACATATGGCTTTCAAGTTCATGACTTCATTTGTGTTTAAAGCTGCGAAATTCATATCCATTCATATATATAATGCTTTCTTATCAGATAATCTGTTTATGAATAGCTAGATTGTTTTCAATTATTTAATATTTCAGCTTTTATATTTTATTATTCATTATTGATAATCTGATGTAAATATTATGGTGTTGCATGCATGTTCTGAAGATTCTTATGGAGTCCAAATGAGGACATCTGTTCCCCTGACGCTGGACTTGTAACAAGTTATGTATTGCCTGATGTGGGTGCAGGCAACTGAAATTTATAAAATTTTGGAGGCATAGGTTCACTATTTATCTCTGGCTGATCTTGAACTCACTGAGATCTGTCTGCTTCAGCTTCTTGACTACTGGAAGTAAAGGTGTATACTAACCTGCCTCACTAAAATATGAATTTATTAATCGTTAGCAAATATGTTATCAGCTGGGTATACACTTGACTTTAACCCCCATAATCAGGAGGCAGAGGTGAGCATGGTCTACAGACCTAGTTCCAGGACAGCCAAGACTATATGGAGAAACCAGTCTCAATAAAAAAGAAAGAATGAAATTAGAAAGAGAGAAAGAAAGAAAGAAAGAAAGAAAGAAAGAAAGAAAGAAAGAAAGAAAGAAAGAAAGAAAGAAAGAAAGAAAGAAAGAAAAACTTTTATCACAAAGTCCTGGGACAAATATTCTTATTCCTGTGTATTAACAATGGTAAACTACTAACACACACACACACACACACATATACACATACATATATATATTGGATATTCTCCAATCAAAATCATTAAACAATTTCCCAGATGTAGAAACATTTAAAAGATATATAACAATTTTAAGAAATAATAATAATGTAAAAAATTATCCAATGTGGAAAAATCATGTTTATCAAAATAACTTGTTGCATTAAATAAATGTTCTGGAAGAATAAAATGATCATTTTGGGTGGCTAGTCTAGAAATTCAGGGAAAACAATGTCTGAAAAAGTCAGACATTTTAAACTATGCAAGTTTTCTTGGATTGAGGATAAAATATAGTGTTACAAGTGATATGAGAAATTTGAAAGTAACCATATTCTTTTTCTTCTGTGGACATTATCTTTCTGGATTTCTATAGCAAGTGAAGCAAATGACATTATATACTGTCAAAGCTAAATTTAGTTGAGGAATGAAGTTTGAAAGAAAGAAAATTTAATACAAGAAAATTTCATTTCTCCATTCCATTCATCATATTGTCACATTGTGGGCGAATGTTTTATAATAACCTTAACACAGTTTTTAAAAATCACTCTCTGCACACACATAAATACACACACACACACACACACACACACACACACACACACTGTCATACACATAATTTAAAAACCTTTAAATATATTCACTAGCAAAAAGAATATACTGTAAGAAATCTCCATTTAAAGGAGTATTTTATGTTGCACAAATGGCAACTTCTGTTCTATGTCCCATGTTTAGTCTTAGAAGTGACATTTTTAACCATGGACTTCTTAGTAATAAAGTAACAATCCCAGTGAGGGCTGAGCGTGAAAATTTCCACTCACATTGTCACCTGTACCTCTAGCATGGTTCTGTGTTGTTCTCATTAACGCGACTTCTCTGTTCTATGAATCACTTAGAATTCTTAATTTAATACTTTTCTGTTACTTGTATACTCACGACACACTTCATTACACAAGAGAACTTTTATTACACCAATCAGAGGATAACTTAAATTATTGATTCAGTGTCTCACAATTCCATAGTATCTGAGTGGGGCTTTTTCTAGAGACTAGAGGAAAAAAAAACTGCCCCCAAGTACATCAATTCTATAAGATTTGGTTGCATCCTTGGACTGAAGTGGCTATTTCTCTTCTCTTGTCTTCTCTTCTCTTGTCTTCTCTTCTCTTCTTTTCTTTTTGTTCTCACAAGGTTTCTCTCCACTTCTAAGCTGCAATATCCACTCATGGTAGGCTTATTCCACCTTTAGTCAATTATAGGACTTCAGAACTTAATAAAGCTTTGAGATCTTTTGTAGGCCACTTATTATCATGAGGCACATATAATTATTTGCATTTAAAGCGTTCATTATGATTAGACAGGACTCACTTAGATTTAGTTCATTAAGTGAATGTTAACCTGGTTTTCACACACTCGATCCATTCACCGTGCATTAAAACAATGAAAACTATCATATCTCATCATGTGATGGTTATATGAATTCAAATGAAGATAGCATTGCATGAATATTCCTATCATGATAATATGTGGAAATAAGTTCAATAGTTACTTTAGAAACTTACATTATCACTGTAATGACTCAAGAATATGACTCAGGAATAATATTGAGAATATAGATTCTGTAAGAGCAAAGAGCTGAGGAAACTATTCACTTCATAAGAACTTGGGGTGGTCAAAGAACATACAGTGGTACTTATAGGAAGGGGTAGATGAATCAGGAAGAAACAATGGAAGATTTTCTCCAGTTCCTCAATGTGATGAATCTATACAATCGAAATGGACCACAATACTAACTATAGCACTGAATCTGACCAAGCACAGAACTGAAAATCTATACTTATTTAGGCATACTCTGGAAACAAAAATCAAATATGTGCTTGTTTATTGACTGTTGCTGTTTCTGCAGCTGGGATCCCACTGTCTCTGATCCCAGGGGCAGGAGGTGAATAGACACAGAACCAAAGGACACAGGCTCTGGGAGGTTGTAAGTAATCTCATTTATTAAACAAGGGACTGTAGCTAGA